GAAACCAAATACGGAACATAAGGGAGAACAAATAAAAATTAGGGCATAAAATATTAAATATATACTAATATTGTTTGAGGAGATTTCGACATTAGGATTTGTGGTTAAGTTCTATTAAGACTTTAATATTAGAATTAGATTAATGGTGTAATTATAATTCTATATTAGACGTTAATATTATAATTAGACTAACGGTGAATTAACGGTATTTAACGAAAAAGTTAAATGGATAATCATATAATTAAGGATAAATTAGAAAAATTTAAAAAAAAAATAAAACCTGAACAATTTGAACCATTCATTTGATTTAATAATTTTGCGTTCATTTTTTCTACCCAATGTTAATAATTAATTAAATTCGTTGGTCAAATCCGCTAATATAATCCGGGCGCTAACTGCTGATTGTCAAACAAGGACATTGCAAGGTAGTTCTCACTTCAATTTGTTGTGTGATTTGAATACTCTCTTTGTCACAAAATCTCTCAAGTAGTTAATATGATTGGCTTTATTAATTATATATTTTTTAAATTTTTTCATGGTATTAATAAAATACTTGGTAAATAAATATATAGCATTATTTTGTATTATAACTTTGATATTTAATTAGAAAAATAGTGCACAAAAAAGATAATAGACAATGTAGTGAATATAATCAATTGATGAATTTGAATGTAAAAATTTTTACATTTGAGAAAAATAAAGACAATATAACTAATGAAAATATTTCTCTTAATTAATTTATTGATAATCAATAATTTTTTTTCACTGAATTAAGACATTGTAAGGACAATGTAGCGAATATAATCAATTAATAAATTTGAATATAAAGAATTTTTATATTGTAGAAAAATAAAGACAATATAACTAATACAATTATTTCTCTTATTTAATTTATTGATAATGAATAATTTTTTTTTGAATAAAGGCATTGTGGACACATAATTCTAAATTAAAGAAATGCATATGTATTTTTTAATAAGAGTAAAATAGAGTACAAATTATGCCAACTTTGATTGGGATGAGGTTCGAACCTAAGACCTTTTTTTTTTTTTTTTTAATTAAAATCAATGAATAAGTTAACGGTGAAGTAACAGCAATTCTTAAAATTTTAACGGAATTAGTAACGATGTGTGGGTATTTTAGAAAATTTTAGTGTAAAATTTAAATCTTATCAATCTTTTAATCAATCTGAGCCATTCATTTAATTAAAATCTGTGACCGCCATTTTTTCTACCATTATAGGCCTAACTCTCTTGGGCTCTTATTAGTATAGTAGATATATATATATATATATATATATATATATATATATATATATATATATATATATATATAGAAAAGCGCTCAAATGTGGCAGTGTAATTAGGTGTGGCAGTGTGGTTATATTTGAACCATTGGATCAAGGCAATCTAACGGCAGAGGCTTAATTTTTTAAACAAGGAAGATTTGTTCGCGTTTTGGTAAGTGGGGGTAGTTATGTAATTTTGTTTACATGGTTACGTGAATGTATATAAGGTAATTTGTATTCTGTTCTGTTCTATATATTTAAACTCGGAGAAAATAGGCAACTTGGTGAAGAGAAGATCAAGATAGCGATCACATCGCAATTTCGGAAAGATCACGGTCGCGATCGCATCGCAAGTGGGAGAAAGTCGCCGGAGATCAGTTGATAGGGCAATTTGAGTATACCGGGCAGTTTGAGATATCGCAATAAGGGATTTTTTGTGCGATGGAGAATGGTATGTGTTGATTTATTGACGTTTGTAGTTTTATTTTGATCATAATAATATGCGTTTGTAATGTCATGGATGTTTTATATCGGTTTTATCTGGATGCGTTTGTACGACGTTGTGTGTTACTGTGTGATTACAGTGCGAAATTTGAATCGTCGTGGTGCATATTAAGGTAGTATAGTGTTGTGTGTGTTTTGTAGGTATCAGATGTTATGCATGAGTTATTTAGTGCGTTATTATATATATGTGGTGTGCAGCTGTTAATTTGGACTCTGTGGGGCTTGTTTGTGTTAAAGGTACGTCCATTGATGTTGTTGTAGAAGGCAGTGGTGGTGTCTGCAATACAGGGCATTCCAATGATGATGGGGTGGATCGCAGTGGCGGTGTTTGTGATGAAGGTTATCATGGTATGTGTTGATTTATTTGATGTTTGTAGTTTTAATTTGTTCATAATAATATGTGTTTGTTATGTAATGGATGTTTTTATATCGTTTTTTTATCTGGTTTGATATTTTTCTGGTGGTGAGATAAGTCACTGTTGTTGTTACGATGTTGTGTGTTATTGTCTGAATATAGTGTGAAAGTTGCATCTTCGTGGTGCATATTAAGTTAGTATAGTATTGTATGTGTTTTATAGTTACTAGATGTCATGCATTGGTTATTTAGTGTGTTATTATATATACATGGTGTGCAGCTATTAATTTGGACCCGGTGGGTTTCATTTGTGATAAAGATACGTCAATTGATGCTGGTGTAGAAGGCAGTGGTGGTGTCTGCAATACAGAGCATTCCACTGATGGTGATCATATTGATGGTTGTGTAGAAGGAAGTGGGGGTCAGTGTGATGAAGGGAATTCAACCGATGTTGCTGTAGAGACTAGTGGTCAGGGTGCCAGTGAACACTGATTGACTGACGTTGAGGCAGAAGACAATGCATTTGTTTTGGAAATGTCTCCTGGGTTGACTAAGTATTGGCGTCCAGTTTGCAGTGATAGTTTGAAGCCTGTTGTGGGGTAAACGTTTGATTCCTTGGATTGTGCTATTGTTTTTTATAAACGGTATGCTGGGTATGTTGGTTTTGATTGTAGACAGGGTACAATTCGGAGGAGGAGGGATGGTGTTGTTGTGGAGAGACAGGTATTCTGTAGTCGAGAGGGGTTTAAAAAGAGTATTTATAGTACGCAATCTACGTGTGTTGGTGATGGTAAGCCCATTATTGTGAAGAGACGGAGGGTGACAAATAGGGTTGGGTGCAAGGCTAAAGTGATGTTTAAGCGTAAGTCTAATGGACTGTTTGTTGTGCATTTTTTGGAGGAACGACACACTCATGTGATGTGTTCAATCATTGCTAAGCAGTTTTTAAAGGTGAATCGTAGTCTTGATGCTGGCCATCAAATGTTCATTGCAAGTTGTGTTCGGGCAAATATTGGGTATGTTCGGTCCTATAAGCTGTTTAAGAAGATTGTTGGTGAGTATTCCAATGTTGGTGCTACTGGGGTGGATTTTAAGAATTTCAAGCGTGATTTGATGGCATACATATTGAATGGTGATGCTCAACTATTCATATACGCTTTTTAAAAGGCGTGAATTGTGCGAGGCTTTTGAGTTTGAATATGATGTTGATGACGTTGATCAGCTTACAAGGGTTTTTTGGGCAGATGCAGTATCAAGGAAGAATTTTGCATTGTTTGGTGATGTTGTTTTATTCGATGCTACATACCGATCTAACAGGTTAGTAATTTATAGTTATTGTGTATTCTGTATAATAGTATGGTGCATATTTTTATTTCATATAGTGTGTTTTGTTATATTTAATGTATTCAGTAGTTGTTGGGTTGTGCATTCTGTAGGTATAATTTGGTGTTTGTCCCATTTACTGGAATTGATAACCATAAGAGATCCATCACATTTGGTGCTGGTTTACTTACGAGGGACGACGTAGACTCATATGTTTGGCTTTTGGAGAGATTTAAGAAAACCATGCGTCATGAACCTATTTGTGTCGTTACTGACCAAGATCCAGCTGTTAAGATTGCAGTTGCTCGTGTGTTTGGTACATCAAAACATAGATTCTGCATGTGGCATATAATGTGCAAGGTTGGTGAGAAGGTTGGACCGGTCTTAGCTAAGGACGAGGTGTTTAGGAGGAAGTTGAATGGCATTGTTTGGAACAAATCTATAGATTCCAAAGCTTTTAAGGATTCATGGAGTCGTATCATAGAGGAATATGGTTTGGTTGATAATGGTTGGTTTCGTTACTTGTTCGAGTCTCGTACATTTTGGGCATCTCCATACTTTCATGATGAGTTTATGTCGGGATTTGTTAGGACAACATCTCGATCAGAGTCTCAAAATAGTTTTTTTGGCAGTTTCTCCAATGGTCATTCCAGTTTGGTTGGGTTTTTGGTGCATTTTGATAGTGCTATTAGTGCACAACGACATGCCCAAGCAAAATTGACTGATGACTCTGAATCATGCTTTCCTGTTTTGAAGACTCCATTGGCGCTGGAAAAACATGCAATGGATGTCTATACCATTTCTGTATTTTATGATGTGCAAGTAGAGATTTGTGAAGGTTGTTTTTCTTGTCGAGTGGTCTCTTTGTGTGAGTGCGATGGTAAGGTGTGCTATGGGATAAAAGATGGTGACAAGAAGGCATGGTGTGTGGAGTTTTTGTTGGCTGACTGTACTGCTATATGTTCATGCAAGATGTTTGAGCGGATGGGGTTGGTGTGTAGGCATATTTTTTTTGTGTTTAAAGATCGTGGACTTGAGAGAATTCCTTCTATGTATTTGGTGTCTCGGTGGACAAAGGCTGCTTGTTTGAAGCCAATATTTGATATTGATAATACGGTTGTTGATCAATCGGCTAAAGTGGATAATGTTAGGGTGATTACTAATCTAATGTGGTCTGAAATTTATGCTTGCGTGGGATTGGCTGATGGTAATGTAGAACGGTTGGAACAACTAAGACGTGTTATTTGTGAGCAAAGGGAGTTTTTTTTTTTTATCAAAGATGGGTGTGACGATGACAATGGGGTAGCTGGTAGCAGCAAAGAAAGTGTGATTAAATCATTTTGTGGTGATGTGTCTCAGGGGTCAACAGTGGAGGTTCGTGATCCAATTAAAGTTAAGAACAAGGGCGGCGGGAAGCGGATGAAGAGTGCAAGGGAGAAAGCTGTGAATAAGTGTGTAAAGCAATCAAGGAAATGCCATACTTGTGATGAATATGGTCATAATAGTAGGACGTGCCCATTAAATGGCTAGAGTTGTGTGTTGTTTTCTTAGTTGGTATGTATTGTGGAATTTGATGTTTTTACAGTTGTGTAGACATTTTATAACACATAGAATCCGGATTTTGTAGACATTGTTAAATTTGTGCGTTTTACAATAGATCACGGTGCATGTATTTGGACATGTGCATTTTATAATAGATAATGGTGCGTTTTCAGATATATCGTGGTGCATTTTTAGTGTATATTCTACGCTGTATTCCTGGTATTGAATGTAGTGTATATTTATTTCAGAATGGTGTATTCTGAATCATGTAACATGATTATAATAAATAACATTGATATGTGTTTAGTTGTGTGATCGGTGTATTTTAAAGGTATGCAGGTATTTCATACCAGAGAATCAGGTTTTTTGAAATGTGTTTGGTATTGTGCATTTTATAATAGATAGTGGTGCGTTTTCACGCATATCGTGGTGCATATTTATGTATATTCAACCATGCATTCATGGGGTTAAATGTAGTGTATATTACATTCAGAATAGTGTATTCTGAATCATGTCACTTTGATTATAATAAATAACAGTGGTGTGTGTTTTACTTGTGTGATTGGTGTATTTTACAGGTAAGTAGACATTTTATAATACAGAAATATTTGTGCATTTTAGAATAGATCATGGTGCGTTTTACTATATCATATGGTGCATTGTTATAGTGCAAAAAGAACACATGTAGATGTAACATTAGATGTCTGGCATCACAAAAAATTACTACTGGTCATCACAAACCACAAAAAAAACCTGTCAAGTCAGAGATATTCACATTGTCTTTCTTCCAGATTAACGTCCTGCTCAAACCCGGAACTCTGCTGTCTGCTGAATGTTCCTCTGTTTGTGTTCATTTAAGTCTGACATGATTAGGGCAGCCATGTATCGCACTCGTAGCTTGTTCAACTGATCCTTGTTGTCCTATTCAACAATATTGTTTACCCTATTCAAGTGACGTAGTTCAGAATACACCAGTTGTTATTGAAATATACACTACATTCAACAACACAAACACAATGTAAAATACACCAATATCAAAATAAAACACACAACAATGTTGTTTACCCTATTCAAGTGACGTAAGTCAGAATACACCAGTAGGTATTGAAATATACACTACAGTCAACAACACAAACACAAGGTAAAATACACCAAAATCAAAATTAAACACACAACAATGTTTCTTACTCTATTCAAGTGACGTAGTTCAGAATACACCAGTAGTTAATGAAATATACAATACAGTCAACAACACAAACACAAGGTAAAATACATCATTACACCAGTATTTATTGAAATATATTATACGATGCCGATGACAATGCACAGAACAAAATGATATGGACGAGTGGAAGCATGTAGGGCACTGTAAATACTCTAATACCTATTTAGTATACACCGATCATCAAAAAAAAACACAAAAAGGTTTATTCCGAGTCTATAATACAAAATACACTGAGTTCATACCCATGCGCGCCGGTTCCTTGCCTTTTTTCACCATTGTTCGCCGTCGTTCGTGGAGTAAAGGGAATACGTTCGCCGGGAGGGGGGGGGGGGAGAAGTGGAGCGGTTCTCTTCGTGTGCTTTGGGATTATGAATCGATATGACTTGTAGAAGGAGGTCTTACACAGTGTTTGAATAGAAGGAAATGACAGTTCTACCCCTATCTGCTACGTTCTAGTTAAATAGGCGCGCCATATTATTACTACCTTGTCCGTTGGATTGAAATGATCTGATGGTCCTTATTTGACCACACGGCCACACCTAATGTATAGGCCACATGTGATCACTCCTCTCTCTCTCTCTCTCTCTCTCTCTCTCTCTCTCTCTCTCTCTCTCTCTCTCTCTCTCTCTCTCTCTCTCTCTCTCTCTCTCTCTCTCTCTCTCTCTCTCTCTCTCTCTCTCTCTCTCTCTCTCTCTCTCTCTCTCTCTCTATATATATATATATATATATATATATATATATATATATATATATATATATATATATATATATATATAATAACTAATTTAATAAGAGCCAATAAATTTAGGCCTACAACGGAAAGTAAAAAAAGTCAATTCAATTGTTTATTAAAATGAATTATTTATATTATTTTGATTTTAGTATTTCTTTTTTAAATTACTTTTTCCTACTTATCTCCTATTTTATCATTTACCTTTCTTAAATACACATGCATTATGTTAGTGTAAACTTTAGTAATGAAATATTCCGTTACTATTTATTTTACATAACTTATTGATTTCCATAAAGAAGGTCTTAGTTTCGAACCTCATCCCAATCAAAGTTGTCATAATTGTTGAACATATAATATGAATATATTAGTGTATTAAAAAATATAATATAAAATTTTATATGCATAAACTTTGTTCAATTAATTAGTTAGACTATATATATAAGATTCAAAATTGTGCATAAAAAATTACAAATAATTAATCTTGAAAATCATTTTCCTTCATCTCCCAAGCTGCCTCCACTGAAGAATCAATTGCAGAGTCCCAATAAAAAGATTTCTACAATACACATTATATTATAATAACAATATGATAAACAAAACATATGCTTAAACATGCATATAAAAGCATAACTAACACTTACTTTAAACTCATCCCAATAGAAGTTAATATTTTCTTCACTTAAACTTACCCATGATCGAGTAACCATTAGCATCAACTCTTTCTTTGAACAATGCAGTAATCTTTCTAGAACATTATATACAATTGTTTTATTCTTCTGTTATTGTTCGGCACACAACATACACCCGCAAACAGGTCAATTTTATCAGGAGACATTCTAGGAATTACCTACAGAAATTGCCGTAATAGCAGCCCGAGAGCTGCAATCGTAGTTGCAGACCAAGAGTAGCTGTTGTCCCAAGGCCATCCGTCGGTCGGAATTAGGAATTCCATGCATCTATTTCTTTAATATAAGTATGTAACAAAACTAATTAGGCGGTAAGTTGTAAAATACTTTAAAAAATATCTTATTGGGAAAATGACACTTTTTCCTCTTGAGTTATATACCTATAGCATTTTTTTTTCCCTGAATTATTGAAGTGGCTGTTTTTCCCCCTAAAATGTTAAATGGACATATTTACCCATAAAATAAATATTTTATTTATTTTTTTTCTCCAACAAATTATGACCATAATTTGGTTAAACCAAACAAACACTATAGCAACCAAACTGAAATATTCCAATTACAATTTAGAATCGAAACCCAATATTTAGAGTTTATTAAAATCGTGAACCGGAACGGACGGTTCATGTTCCGAACTGAAAAAATAAAATACATTTTTTGTTGAATTTAGACTATTTTAAAATAAAAAATAAAATTTTAAAATAAAGACGGTTCAAAATTGCGAACCGGATCCGGAACCGCCGGTTCACGGTTCAAGATTCAATTTTTTTGATACATAATTTTAATAAATTGACATCTAAATATTGGGTTCTAGATCTGAATCATAACCGGAAACTTTTTATTCGGTTGCTTTAGTGTCCGGTTCAGTTCAAACCGAACCGTGGTCATCCCTACGTATACGCAATAATTTGTTGGAGAAGTAAAATAAATAAAATGTTTACTTTAAGGGTAGAAATGTCAATTTAATATATCGGGGGGGGGGGGGGGGGGGGGGGGGGGGGGAAGCACCACTTTTTAAATAATTGAGGGGGCTAATGTACTTACCTAAATAATTGAGGGGGAAAAAGTGCTATAAGTATATAACTCAGAGGAAAAAGTGCTATTTTCCCTATCATATTTTTAATAGTAAACTGTGTCATTTATCAGAACCTTCAAAAAATATGAAAAATCAATCAAATTGAGAGACAAAACAAATGAACAAGAAGTTACCATATCTTTCTTCAAATTCAGGTGCACAGTGTAAGAATTACAACATGATTTAATGTCCGTCTATAGTCAATATATTCAATTAAACATCATTGTTAATAAAATAGATCACTGAGAAAAATGTATTTTACAAAAGCAAAATATCTTTTACTCCTCCATGTTGTTTTGATTTGTGGAACAATTCAGTAGTTCAAGATCTAGTTCAATATGTTAGGAAATATTACTACGAAAATAATATTTCTAGGAAAAAACAAGCACAAGAACGAAATGAATTTCTGCGTTTGTTGGTTAGTACGAGTTATTTGCTGTCTCGTTTCCCAGGATAAAACGTACGTACGGTGCGATTTCAAGTTTGAGCACTCAAACAGTGAAACTTAGCAAACTAGAGCGTGGGATGAACACAATGTTAGCCCACACAAGAGAGAACCTCTATGCTATACAAGTCAATATACCTTAGAAAGGCTCTTGTATAAATAGTGGTGCAAACCCACTTCTCAAACCAATGTGGGACAAAAGTTGCATACAAGCCTTTCCACCTTCATTTTCCAACTCTAATGAGTCTACTTTGAGAATAAATTTCTCATTCACCTATTATCCGTTTTGAGCGTACAATATATCAATCTCTTCGTCTCACTACGAAGAACCCGAATCCACTTTAAACCAACCAACAATCAGAAGTGGACCCCACTAATATTTGTACCACAAAATAGCCACTTAAAATGTCATTTTTATCCTTTACCAACAAACAAACCTAGTTTAGACAAAACTACTTTGTCTGACTCAAACACCATGCGGAACCCACATTTTTTCAACAACGAGCCAGACACAAGATTTTTCCACAGCTCCAGAACATATAATATGGTGTTCAATGTCAATTCCTTCCCGGAAGTCATCTTCAGAACCACCTTCCCCATGCCTTCCACAACAGACTGGGCAGAGTTTCCCATCCACACCTTCTCGCCCTCAACGGTGTCAAAGGTGCTAAACATCTCTCAGCTGCAACACAAATACCTTGTTGCACCAGTGTCGATGAACCACTCGCGTTGGTTATGTAATTTTGCATTTCACCAGATTAAGATGATTATTTGATATAAGCAACTGATATATTGAACTGACTGATGCGAATACGTGAATTGTTAGT